CCTACCCTCTAAAACCCCATTCCATACCTCTGACAAATTCACATGGCGTTGGGTGATGAATTGAAGTCATAATAAGATAATAACTGTTAAGATAGGTATAAGGAATAAACATGATCTGTTGTTATAATGTTAAGAGTGGAGCATCCCCATGAAGAATGGATGAGGATTGGAGGTATGAATGTATGATGAGGAGGGGAAAGGTGAAATCCCTGTAGTGCTTGTGGTTACTCATTTAATCGCAGTACGGTAGCTCTAATAATATATGTTGAGAACATCGGTGATTTGAGATCAGTTCAGTATAGGGAAGCTAAGTTTATCATCAGATAAGGGAACCGAGTTCTATCCATATCCTAAAAGTGTATCGTCGGAAGAAGAAAATTACGGAAGATAATATTAAAATAGTATCGTCGAGCGAGTGAGTGGAGAGAGATAAAAGAGTGGAACGAAGAAGGGAGAGAGACGTTCTAAAAGTGAAATCATCGAAACAAGAATGTGAGTGGTGATAGATAAGTGGCCTGAGGCGTAAGGAAGATGTGCTGAAAGTGACGTCGCTAAAAATTGAGTGTAAAGTTAAATGTAGGTGTGGGCGTTCGCCCTACTGAGGAAATAATAGTTGGTTAGAATTATCAGAAGGCAGGTACCGATAGGAGTGTGAGTGAGCTATTGTGATGTAAGCGGAGAGATTCCCGAACCAAAGACTGTCAATCACTGAGTGTCGAGGCTACCCACTTGATGTAACTGGAGTAATCCTAGGAGAATGATAGGATTATAAGGATTATCATCTTAGCATGTGAAATTTTATTTGTAACGTGGGGACGGTCCATTATATGTGTAAGAAGTCTTGTATTGTTTGATTTTAACTTAAGTGTAATTTAGTACGTGAAGGGTGTACGTGAGAGTGTCATCAAATCAGAGAAACTTCTTTCATCACATGTGTTTCGGAAGTTACCTGATTTAACGGGGGAGTTTGTAACCGTATGCACCCTTCATGGAGGTATCTTATCTGTTTATGCTTAGCGATTGGGTTTGGCTGTGGAAGTGAGATGCCCCAGAGGGTTCATGGTCCTCTGAACTGGCCTTTTGTTACGAGGGACAGAAGGGAGGTTGGTGAGTCCATTGCATTCGGGGGGGTGTAGGTATACCTCCTTTCGTCCGTGCCTGTGGGGGTGGAGGACCTGTGGATCGAAGCTTCAAGAACGTTCGAGAAGGTGTGCAGACCGGAAGGGGTCCGTGCATTTGGTCATGAAGCCCTCCCAGTGGAAAGTTCGAGATGGTGTAGAACGTGGTTTCTGGAAGCAGCAGCGGGGGTAAGGGTTAGTCAGTGAGTGGAAGCCGAGGAGTCAGTGAGTAGAAGCCAGGTAGTGAGGGTGTTCCTGTGGAACCTGTGCTAGGGGGTTAACCGATCGAGCCCGCATCCAAAAAAGACGTAAGCGAGCCAACACCCATATACCCCTGGGATATAAGACTCATTCCGCTGAATTTAGTCGAGGCATACACCGCGCGGAAGTAAAGCGTATGGGGCAGGTGTAAAGGATTGTTGGACCTGTGTTTTTTAATTAAACAGTTAACTGTAAAAGATATGTACAAGTCATTGTTGGGCAGTTCTTTTCAGAGTTAACAGGAGAAGAAAGGCTCTATGGCTGGTTTCAACAAGACTCAGCTACTGCCCACACTGCAGGTCTATGCAAGCTTTGTCCAATGTCTTCGGGGACAGAATTATCAGCAGTGGTATTTGGCAAGCACATTCACCTGATCTTATTACTTGTGATTTTTTCTTCTGGAGTTGTTTGAAGGGCAAAGCTTGCAGCAGTAATCCTCGAACACAAGAAGATCTGAAAGAAAACATTCGTTGGGAAATTTCAAATATTCCTGCAGTGTCTTTAGAAGGTAAATCAAAACCTCTTCTGCCAGTGTGAGAAACATCTGCGTATTTAGGGACAGCATTTTCAACACCTCCTGTGATCTGTGAACAAACGTAAGAACTTCCCTTCATTCCAAATGTTATCGGCATGCTGAGTCATTAGTAAAATTTGCGTGCGCTTCGAGGCCGGCAGTGCACCAGTCGCAGTAAAGCTCAGAGCCATGAATACGTCAAGTTCAGTAAAAAATACCATGTACATCTTGCCCACATCCTCAAACAGTACATTACATTTTTACTAATTTTAATGCTTGCATATAGTAAGTCAGTAAAGGTATCCCTGTAAAAGGCCGTGGAGGCCCATAGGGTTGTGAGATGTTGGGGTTCCCACATTTTCTAGATAATTGGCTCATAGATGGCAGTAAGGTTGTCAGCCATATGTGCCGGCCACCCTTTGCCCCCAAGAATATTCCTGGTACATTTCTGTTAGAGGGTGAGTTGACCCCAGGGCCATAGTGCAGTTGGAAGGATTAGGTAACTCACATTTACATTTACACATTTCAGAACTGACCCTATGATAGATAACAGACTGGATAATGCTCATAAAAAGTAGCTCATTTTCTATTAGAATGTAAGGTGTGATGATTCCAATGACTGATGTGTATATACCACCTGAAGATGACTCAGAAATAGGGTCAAAACATGAAATGGGAAAGAATAAATATAAATACTGTTACTACTAGGTAGTTGTGTCGATCCTACTGTAAGAGTTACATGGTATGCTTTAACAGCTACAAGCAAAATGAGAAACAGATGCTTTGCTGTTCTTTTCAGATGTACTCAGCAGATAGTGTGGAGTCAAGTAGCAGAAAGCAGAGTAAGGCAGGATATGTGTGAATGCATGTGCCATAAACAGCACATATGAGTAGATGCCCAAATGTCTACTTACTCAAAAATTCACTGCATGAAAGCCATGCCATAGTTTAGGCAGTCTGACAATAGCTTCCTACTGCAGAGCCTTGTATTCAAGCCCTGGTGGCTTCATGTGAAATCAGTGATGGACAAAATGGCAATGGAGCAAGTTATTTTTAGAGTTTCTTTCATGTCCCTCTGCTAATCTTTATTCTGCCATACCTCCACGCTAAATCACCATCACTCCAGTGTTGTGACAGCCCTGACCAGGCAGCAAATTATGACATCCTACATCTTTAAGTTTGGACTTGATCACAGACCCAGCATCTTGCTGATAATTAAGTAAGGAAGTTCACTGTAACTACACTCTGTGAATTTATCTGACAGCAGAAAAGTTATGTCTGGTGTTGCCTGGCACAGTTATGATTTAATAGTTACATATTCTACAGAATATATTACCATTGTTTTACAGCACACACGAACACAAATTTTGGGCTTTATACTAATCCTATAATTTGGATGGTTTGATTGCAACATAAATGTTAATAAAAACTGTTTGAAAAGGGCTATTAAAAATGAACTGGTATAAATATATTTGATCTTTGTTTATACCATCTGAAAATTAATTTTACTAAAGGATACATCTTATGTTCTTCTGTGGAATACAACAGACTAAGATACAATTCTCTCACATCTCCACTGGTTTACCAACAGATGACAGCTTTTCTTCAACAACATCAAGTGATGTGTGCCCTTTGTGCTGAAACTGTAACTCCAGTTCTGGGTGTAGACATGATATGTACTTGGGAGAATTCTGAAAAAAAAAAAAAAGAAAGAAAACCATTTCATGTATAACTTTGTGTACCATGGCCCCATGACTGCAACCCATAATTCTCTTGTTTACCATTGTTATTTTGCTTACATGTTCCTTTATTTAGTTATTATTCAGTTTGCATACTGTACTGAATGAGCGATTAACAATGCGGCAAAGTTGGCCCCGCCTTAGCGCTATGCCACACATGCTGTAAAACGTGCACCTATAAAACTTCAAGTTTTCGACGATCGAGGAAACAAATTCCCATCTTCATGTTCCGAACCGTTCCGGACTCTTTCCCATCAGGGGGTTTACACTGTCCGGTACTCAGTGGATAGAACGTTCGCTGGATCGCATAACCCGAAATTTCTGTACTGCTTTTCTTCCAAACTAGCGCCCCATTCCAATTGCATACTTCACAGTTAATTAGGTAGTCATCCCTTTCTCTGGGGGTTATGTAAATAATGCACTACATTTTGTAAGCCGATCAATATAAACATCTACACTACGTCAAGAACGACATCGTACCGTCAATTTGCAACTGGATCCGGGCAGCTCGTTATGAATGAAATTTCTATATAGAAATAAGCGATGTATTAAAGATCATGTCAGCGAAACATTGCTTGATCCGAAGAGTTTCCTCATTCATAAATGCCAGATATGCTAGAGACAGTATACTACATCATATAACTTTGAAGTAAAACTTATTGTCCTTTATGATTATTAATGATTAAGGTGTCCATACCATCGATATAAAATTACCTGAAACAAAACTCATTTCTTCGCACTTCTTTCCCAACATCCACAACACAGACCGCCATATTGAATAAATTTGTGTTGGTTGCTTTTCATTTGTGTCCGAGAAAAATCTGGTTGTGGGAAGTACGTCACGAAGTAGAATAATACGAATTTTGATTGTTTATGCCAGGTTGTTTATCATATATCTTAGTTTTATGTTTTATATGTGATTTCCTGATGGAGTGTTGGAAAACTATTTGCTAAATGTGATTGCATTGCTTTAAGCTGTATGTTAGAAGGGAGCAATGGCAGAAGATACTGGAATTAAAGATTCTGATTTAAAATCAAAACACTCCAGGTGTAAATCGTTTATCCGTTTTATTAATAACACAGACCGAGTGGTGGATGTTATATGGATAAATTTCGAAGGACAACATGTTAAGTATAAGACTCTTCCACCAAGTGCATTCTTCGATTGCAATACATATGTTACACATCCATGGCTGTTTTTTGATTCTGAAACACACGATAAACTTGTGGTAAAGTCTGAGGAGGTTTTCCGCCCTGAACCATGGTATCTGCAGTATCAGCAGGGAGAGGATTTACCACGCAAGCCAGGCAGAACCCTTGTGTATATTACCATTCCAGTATACACACTTCGTGAAAGATCACTGCAGGTTGTGAGGAACAATCTATCACAACCTGAGGATGCATTTAAATTAGAACTGCCCAGCACACTGCAAAAAGAATTGGCATCCAAGATAAAGGAAACTTTGGAAACTCAAATTGTTGCCAATTAATTGTCATGTAAATATCATGTGTTTCTGGACATCATAAAAGCATGAACCAGAAGTATGGTTTTCATTATACTCCCATAATTTGTAACTGAACTAAATGTGACATCCATTTCATTACAAACAGTGCATTTATTTTTGGACTCAGTTAAGTGATTTAATTTAATTTATTGATACTTCAAGTAATCCATACAGGTGATAACAAGTCACCACAGATATAGAAGTAGTCCATTATTAAAAATGAGTACAATAGTAGCAGTTATAACACACAGCCTTGTCAATAAATAAGACTATGTAATCAAGGACACTATTTGTATCAATCACAACAATAATTCATATAACACTAAAACATACTAAAACAAAATAATATACAAAGAAATAACACAGCTGTAAATAGGTAATATAAAAAACAATTACACTATGTATGATCCATCATTATGCTGACCATTCAAGGTATTCTTTTACTGAATAAAAGGATTCCTTTAAGAAAAATTTTTAGAAACTAATTTGAATTTTTAACGTAATATAACAGTTCCCTTATATCACACGGTAAATGATTAAAAATTTCTATAACAATATAATAAGCACCCTTTTTGCATTTGGTCAAATTTACTGATGGTATGTGTAAATTAGTACTTTGTCATGTATTTATAGTATGTATTTCATTATTAATTACAAATTGGTGTATATTTTTTACTACCAATAACAATAAAGGAAACATTGTACAGGATGGGGTGCAGAAACCTCTTTTTTTTTGAAGGTGAATAAAAGAAAAATTATTGCTGATAGACAAAATTTATGTTTAGCTAATGAAAGAACATACTTTAAAGTTTTAAATCATGTAGTTTTAAACAAAATATCTTGAAGGTGGTGGCCACCGTTCTCTATGCACTGATGGAACTGTTTTCTGAAGTTCCCCTCTGCACGTTCCAACATGTGCACCAGAATTTGGGCTACTTACTGCCAAATAACATTCTTCAGCTGAAGCAGGTTTGTGGGGTGATGTTTAAAAACCTCTGCCTTGAGGTATCCCCATAAAAAAAAATCACAGGGCATTAGATCAGGTGAGTGCACTGCCCACGGGATGTCACCTCAAAGCGAGATAAACCGTCCGGGGAACTTTGCCCTCAAAACTGTCATCGAAGCTTGGGCTGTGTGGGCCATGGCACCATCCTGTTGGAACCAGACATTTCCTAGATGCATTTCTTCAAGAGTTGGTTCAAAAAAGTTTTTAATCATGTCCACATACCACTGTGAATTGACAGTAACTGCATGATTGTCTTCTTCAAAAAAATAAGGGCCAATAACTCCAACTCTCGACAGTGCACACCATACTGTCACCTTATCACTGTGAAGTGGCCTCTCATGGAGCTCTCTGGGATTCTTACCACTCCAATAGTGCATATTCTGCTTGTTTACATATCCAGATAGGTGAAAATGTGCCTCATCACTAAAGAAAACAAGTGTGTCAGGGGGTAAAGTTTCCAATAACGTTTCACACACCGTTATTCGATTCTGGAAATCATGTGGTGACAATTCTTGCACAACAACCATCTTATAGGGATGGAAATTAAGATGTTTGTGAAGAATTCAGCGCATTGAACGATTGGATATGTCTAGGGCGACTGCACGTTTCCAAGAGGAGCGTCTTGGAGATCTCAAAATCGACTGTCGAACTGCCTCCACATTTTCTGGCATCGTAACGGTCCATTGTCGTCCTGATGATTTTTTCACCACACTCCCGGTTGTCCTAAAGTTCTCTACCCACAAAACAATCGATTTCCAGTCGTGAACCAGATGTCTGGGCTTAATTCTGAAGTGAGTACGGAACGCACGCTGCACTGCCACGTAGGAATGGTTGTTCAAAAAATAGGCTTCAACAGCAAATGCACGCTCCTCACTCGTCCACCTCATGTTTCCTTCTGAGGGGTATTAGACAAAAACTTCCGCAACTGCTGTGTTCGCTGAGCCTATCCCCACTTTTCTGTGACCTCCCCTCCCTTCACAATGCATATTCACAAAAAGGAAGTTTCTGCACCCCACTCTGTAAATAATTAGGTGTCTAAAAAGTCCCCGGCAAGATATTTTAGGATTCACATTCATAATATTTCTTATAATTCTATTCTGTACTATAAAAACGTTTTTACTATTAGTCGTCTTTCCCAAAAGGGCAACATCATACGTGATAATAGAATGAACATACGGAAAATATACAATTTTTAAGTCTTCTATAGTTAAAAACAATTTGAGAGATCTAATAACAAAACAAGCAGACTTTAATTTAGTAATCACTTCATTTATATGCTCTTACCAAAATAAAGTCAAGAGTCACGCCTAAAAATCTGTGTAGTGAATGTTATTTATTTGTTTCTTCATATACTTTATTGGAGAATTATCGATTAGACACAGTTGTTTTAGAATACATATAATACATTTTATTAAAGTTCAAAGTCAATGAATTAGCTTGAAACCAACCTATTATCTTCCCAAGAACAGTACTGAGATTTTTTTCAAGCTGCATAAAATCTGAAGTGGTTAGTATTAAGTTAATATCATCTGCAAATAGAGTACGTTTCGATATATCACCTATTACAGCTGGTAAATCATTAATATACAACAAAAAAACAGTGATCCAAGAATTGATCCTTGAGGAACTCCCAATCTAACTTTTTTCCAGTCTGAGAAGCATTTAATAGATGATTTATCTTTTATTACTACCCTTTGGTATCTATTATTTAAATAAGAGGCAATCAATTTAAAACATGTTCTCGTACACCATAAAAATCCAACTTTGTCAGCAATAATTCATGATTTACGCTATCAAATGCCTTCAGTTATTCAGTATAGAGGGGGTGGGTTTCCCCATGCACTGCGACTAATAGTCTATTGTACATCCCCCTTTAATTTCTACTGTTGCCATACTCTACCAATACTGGTGCCCGCTATCTACCCTTTCTGCCAGCGAGGTTGGCCCTCTGCTGGCAGTGGTACCCAATAACTCCCCTTTCTGCCAGCGAGGTTGGTCCTCTACTGGCATTGGTACCCGATAACTTCCCCATCTACCGGAGGCATTGGAAACTACTTGGGCAGGAAACTTTTTGCCTAATTTTGCTCAGAGGTCTCCTAGAGACATGAGGATCTATTACGTGCCATAAATCTATGACACGGGACCCACGGCTTAAAGTCCCTCCCAGAGGACTTGTTACCTGAATTTTTCTGCCCTTAAAAGTTCCACGACCTCCACCGGGTTTGAACCTGCATAACTTGAGTCATGAGGTGGGAACGTTACCCCTAGACTACGGAGGCTGCTTATCAAATGCCTTGGTCAGGTCACAAAAGATGCCACCAACCAATTTTTTATCATTAAATGCCTGCAATATATAATTAATTAAATTAAATTAGTGGTTTTTGAAGAGCTATTTTTCCTGAATCCAAACTGCTCAGCAGCCAAGATGATATTATCAGATATGTGTGTGTGAGGTCTATTAAAAATAACTTTTTCAAAAATTTTGGAAACTGATGTAAGTACAGAGATTGGCCTATAAATAGATATTTCAGACCTTTCACCGTTTTTGTATACATCAGATGCACTTGTGAATATTTCAACGTGATGGCAATATGCCTGTAGACAGGGACCTATTGCATATATAAATAAGAGGAAACGTTATAAAAGGCATACTCAATTTCAATATTTTCATAGGTATTTTATCATAACCATATGAATTCTTATTTTTATGAGATTTAATAATATCTTTCATCTCATTACTAGTTACAGGTTCATATTTAAAGTTATTAATGGGTCCTGTGGGTACTGAAGATAAGTAATGAAAAAACTTATCTTTATTTAAAATTGACCCTAAAGTTATATGTGAGTTGTCCAACCGATTATCCATCATAGTATTGAAATATAAATTAGTGATGTATATAATTTAAAGTGTTACGTATATTTTGACCAGAGCGGTTATTTGTAATAGCCACAAATTATGAATATGTATATTCATATCTTACTGCATTTGTTTTTCTGGCATATATTAATACAGGACCAGTACTACTTATTTTTTCATTTTTTAAAACAGTCCTTACAAAGTCGTTTAATGACATGAAAATATGATCTTATATTGAACAGCTGGGAATGAACTTTATTCAGTATGAACATCTGTAGAAAAATTGAGATTTGAGGTTTTAATGGCGGTGATTATAAACATTGCTATCTTCTTGTATGTGATGCAGTATAGTCTGGAAGATATTTACCTATATTTTTCAGGAATCTCTACTACCTTGAAGATAAAGCCAACAGGTTTCTCCAAAATACAGTGCAACTTTGATAATCCAAAATAATTAAATAATTGTTATAATCAGATAGACTTGAAAGGATTCTGATGATGGTATAAGGTGTATAGAACTCTTAGGCTAATTTTGGACTCTATCCATCGTCTGATATATATATATATATATATATCTGTGGTTTTTTGTCTTATATACACCAGACGATGGATAGTCCAAAATAAGCCTAATAGTTCTGTACATGGCATAGTCAGACTATAAAATCATACAGGTTACTCAATTTCAAATAAAAATATCTAACTTTTTAGTAAAGTTATTTATTTAAAAGATTTATTGGTACATTTTTATGTAAATAATAATTGGAACCTGCAGGCACTAGACTGCACGTTGGGCTCTGGGCAAGCAGTAACCAGATTACATCACTGACCACGTAGACCAGGTAAGTCCATTAACATAAACAAGGGGCAGTCAAAAGTTCCCAGAATGGTGGTATAGCACACTCTCATGGTAGGACATGGCATGGCAACGCTTACCTAATCTCCTTCAAAGTAGGACTCTTGCATGCACACACACTTGCTCCATCGATCCTGCAATTGTTGGAAGCAGCGGTGGAAGGCTTCTTTTGGAATCTTCTGGAGCTCAGCCGTCACATTCGATTTGATGTCCTCCGTGGTTGCAAAACGTGTCCCCTTGAGGCCCATTTTCAGAGTAGGGAGCAGCCAAAAGTCACTCAGAGCAAGATCCGGAGAGTACGGTGGTTGAGTGATGACAGGAATGTTTTTCTCAGTGAGGAATTACTGCACAAGCGATGTGTGGCTCGGTGCATTATTGTGATGCAGAAACCACTGTCCCTGCCACTTGTCACGCCACTTCCTCCGAAAACCGCATCGCGCAACCTCTGTAAAACTTGCACATAGAAATGGCCAGTAACAGTAGCAACTCGGCGATGGGCATTCTTCGATCACATCGAATCGGTTGTCGCGCTTTTCCAATCATTTCTTCGGTTCTGGATGTCGAAGGTCTCCTGCTGTGCTGGTCATCCTCTAATGTCTCCTGCCCATTCTTAAACTGGGAAAACCAGTCGTAAACTGCGGATTTATTTTGTGCAGTATCACCGTAAACTTGCTGCAGGGCCGATAGCATCTCTGAAGCAGATTTTCCCAATCTGTACATGAACTTGATGTTCGCACGCTGTTCGAACTGCGACATTGCGCCGAATGGCCAACACTCACATCTAATTCAAACAGAATAGTAACGACACTGCACACCGAAACCTGTCCAGACCTGTTGCGCCTGTGAGCAGACATGCTGAGCTTCCCACCACAACAGTGTATGCGCTATCTTATCACTTGTTCTCCATCTGCAGGGGAATTCTGGGAACTTTTTGGCTGCCCTACATAAATCATGTTTCACAAGAGTTCATTTTTATCACTAAGACGTAAAATAACCAGATTCAATTTGCAATTTTTGGAGTCTCTGATTTTTTTTTAGGTATTGTAAGTCACTTTGGATAAGAACAGTTAGATTACTGTGGCCCCA